CTGAGTGCCCCAGACTCAGGCTTAGTGGCACAGAAATCTGTGCTCATCCCTGTACTTCACCCTTGAAGCCCAGGGAAGAAAGAACTGACATTTGGGAGATACCCACCGTCTAGGCAGGTTTGCCTGATGGTCTTATTTGCCACAGTATGGGAGCAGTGGTCAAGAAAGGCAGCCATGACACCTTCCCAGTGTTCTGGGTGAGTGCCTTACAGTGTGTAGGGAAGCTGGGTGTCCTAGCCTAAGCCCTGCAAGGAGGGAAAGTCCTGCTGGGATGGGAGGGGCCACAGGTCACATGGCTTAGTGACCCTAAGTGACACCAGAGCTGTCCTCCATCTAGGAACAATGATTCTCTCTGAGCCTCCTCCGGAGACCTGGCTACCTGACACTGTCTTGAGTGTCCCACAGCAGTTAACTTGCAGCTGTCCCTTCTATTCTGCAAGCTCAGAATAGTCCGGGGCTGGGCGGCAGACGCTGCCAGGTATGTGCGCACCTGGGAACTGCACAAGCCTGTGCCAGATCACTCTGCTGGGAAATAGGTCACCCCCAGATCTGGCATGAATGCTACCATATTTGTGGCTTCAAGCACTGCTGAGCAGAGCCTCTATCCTGGTCCCTCTTAGCTTCCCTGTGCCTTCCCTACTTATAAGTCTGCAGACATTGGCAAGTCAGCAGGCAACCACTGATCCCTAGGATCTCCCTCTTACTCCCCTGCCCAGCAACTGCCAGCCACACGGCTTCCTCTAAGTGTTCCTCTGCAGGCCGGGACTGGTCTCAGGCTCAAGGCAGCTGGGCAGGAGCCCCAGCAAACACCCTCACCCATGGCCTATAGCCTCTAGTCCAAGTGCCCTGGTGGCACTGCTGGCTGCCTGTGGGGGAGAAGGAAGACTACCTTGACCTCAGAGCTCTGTAGAGTAAGTTCTTCTCTGGGAGGCAACCCTGACCAGCCTTAGCTGGGGTCTGTCTAAAGAGCCCCTGGGAATGGAAGACAAGAGCAGCTTGACAAGACACCTCACTGACAACAGATGACTGTGAGGTTTATCCACAAAGTCTGTAGGGTCTTGGGACCAAAAAGCAGAGCAGAAAAAGCTGACTTTGGACAGCCTGGAGAACTCCAGTCCTCAGCAAAGGTCAGGGAAGTGTAGGGTGCAGGTCTATATAGTGTTCTTCATGGTTCCTGACCCTCCCTGTAACCTATACCTAGAGTCTCAGCCTAGCTGCCTGGCCATCCTGCCAGCCACAGAATCACAGCAGAGAGGAAGATCTTAATTGGCTTTCACTTGTCATTCTGAAGGTGGGAGACTCCTCGTTCTATGAAATGATGAGTGTCCAGGAGCCAAACAAAGGAGGCTGACTTTGTAGAAAATGCTGGGGAAAGCAGAAACCCAACACAGGAGATTAGCCATTTCAGAGTCATTCCCTCATAAAGAGCACAGAGGGGCCAGTGCAGTGAGCTCTTCCTTGTGATTGGCCACTGTGGAGGCTCCTGTTCTTGGAAAACTGGCCCATTCAGGGTTCAGCTTGAGGACTTGGCACCCAGGCGGAGCACCTTCATTCTAGAATGGTCTGTCTGCTAGGGCCCTGTAGAGGCTAATCGGAAAGATGGCCACCTGTGGACTGCAACAGTGCTCTTAGCCCTGGGCCTCCCAGCATAGTCTCTCCCACACAGACATACCACACCACACTACACCACATCCACACACCACTCACACCACACCACACACACACACACATACTTACTTTTCTGCTCTTCATTAGCTGACGCTTGGTCCTGAGAACAGGTTGTACTGCTCCAAACTGCAAGTAGACCTGCCACCTCCCCAGAACTCAAGGCACTCCCCTGAAGCCCCACCCCACCCCCTTCCTACTGTACACTAAACAACCCTCAATGTAGCAGAACTTCAGGGAAGGTGTTCCATAAAGCCTCTGCTGCCAATTTCTCCTCCTCTCCCCTCCCCTCCCCCCCCCCCCAACAAAGCTAGCTCATCCTTGAGCCTCCACAATTCCTGGGACTGGGAATGGGAGAGGGGCCAGGATTGAGGAGTGTCCATCACCAAGGCCTCCATCCAGCATCTCCTGTATCTGTTTGCCTCTGTAATGCTCTTGTCTCCAACTCGGGGTGGGAGAGTGACCATGTGGTTACCATGGACCTCAGCCATTGGACCTCAGTTCAGCAAGTCCCTGAACTAAAGTTTCCTTGTCTATAAACAGTTAGAGTAATGTCCAGAATTCCTAGGCACTGTCTGTGGCCTGCTCTATTTTCTTTGACAAACAACTCAGGTTTGCTGAGGGATCTTCCTCTCGAAGCCCTAGTCTGGCATCCATCCCCTTCTCCCACAGAGGAAGAGGGTACCCCGAAGTAGGGTGGACAGAGGCACACAGTGGTCAGAGAGAACCTGGATGAGCCAGAGCTGATGTTAACAAAATCGCTTCCTTTTCAAGTGTGTTGGTAACAGGTTTTCTGTCATTTGCAGCAGAATCCCCAGGAAAGAGCATGGTATTGGGGAGGGGGCTGTCACAGTATCTTGACTCATTCTTTCTGAGCTGTCGGGCTGTGGAGGAGTCACCAACTAATGCTGTCTCTGAAGATGAGGCAGCACCAGCTTCCACAGGTACCCAAGAGGCACTTTGACCCAGGTGTGGTCAAGTCTAAGGTGCTAGTGCTGGAAGGGGAAGATTCCTGAGCCTGCTTAAGCCAAACCAGCAGATATTTGAGCTGTCACCTCACCTAGTCACCCTACCCACTCTCAGAGGCTTAATACTGACCATAGGACCTGTGTCTGCACCCCAACCTTAGTACCCCCAAAGAATGAGAGTATGTTAGCTGACTCCACTAATCTAACAATTAGATTCCTTGTCTCTGCCTTTTCCTCGTGGATAGGATGGGAGAGGGAGGAATGGCTGACCGGCTTTTTACTGTACTTCCTTCCTGAGCCACAGAGGTTGCATGCACAGGGTGCAGATGGTATATGTAAAGGTGCCCAAGTATGCAGGTGTGCGTGTGCACATGTCCATTTCTGCATGTGCACAAAGGAGTATGCATATGTGGGAGTTCAGTGCTCACGTGGGTAGGGGCATCTGTGTGTCTCTGGTGTGTGTTCTCCTGTGTGTGCTTGTGTGTGCCTAGAACTGTGTATCTGCACACAGGTGGCCAGCCTCCCCCAGCACACCTGCCGATACAGGCTTTTTATATCTGGACCTCATCTCATTTACATGCTTTCCCGATGCCAAAAGTAAGCTTCCCTTTGGTGTGTGTGTGTGTGTGTGTGTGAGAGAGAGAGAGAGAGAGAGAGAGAGAGAGAGAGAGAGAGAGAGAGATTGGTGTGTAGTATGTTCCTATATATGTATGTATGTACTTGGTACCCCTAGTACCTTGCTGGGGGAGGGGTGTGTCAGACAGTGTGCACCTCAAGAATGTCCTGAAGCAGTGCTGGTAATTCTTGCTGCTGGGGAACAATGTGATGTGTCATTCTTAGTCCAGCCAGGAAAGCAGAGAAAGCTGTGGTTATTGAGGCCAGAGGGAACAGAAGATAGGAAGCTGATCACGGAGGAGACAGAGGAGGGGAAACCTCAGCTGGGTGTTGTGATAAACTCTGGATGAACAGCAGCAGGAAGCGCCTGGCCTGCCAGGGCTAGAGAAACACAAGGAGAAAGGATTGCTGGCACCGTGGGGGTTTGAGGGGGTATTGCTCAGGGATCTAGAGGCACAGCTACAGGGGGGGGGGGGCCTTCCTGTGGAAGATCTCCGGCTCAGTATGCTTCATCTCATCACCCATCATCACTGGGCCTCCCAGAGCTGGGCACAGCAGGGAGACAGAGGTCTGGGGAGCTGTGGTTAGCCCTGCTGAGAAGGAATAGTCAGACTAATGGTGCAGCTCCTCACTGCTCTGTGCTGGCATGTGTGCCTGTGCTTACACGACCATGAGCAGTGGGTATCAGTTCAGGTGTGGACATGGACCTGAGTGTTTTATACCCTGTCTTGGCAGGTCGTGGACAGCTGGCAGAGAATGATACCAACAGCCAAATCTAGTACTTAGCAGCCTTTAAACAGGAACCAGAGGAGTGTGCATGTTTGCTTAAAGCCTTATACAGCAATATGGGCTAATCACTGCTATAATCCTCATAGATAAGGGCAGTATGGCACAGAGAATGTGAGTAACTTGCCAAAGATCACACAGCAAGATCCAAAGACAGGACTCAGAGCAGCCTGGCCCTTAACCCCTGCCCTCAGACTAACTCTGCACCTTCTATTGGAGGTGGGCCCTGGCTGTGTGCTAGACAGAGCTACCTCTAAACCTGCTCCAGAAATGTCTTTGCCTGTTCCTGGCTATCCAAAGAGTGACCCTGGCACAGGTCCCGTATTGGCCTAGAGGCTATATAACTGTAGCCCGTTCCTCCTCACATGACATGGAGAGATCCATGACAGTGAGTCAGGTTTGAGCCCAGAGTCGAGCAGTCTGGTAGCCTTGAAGCTCTCACAAATGGCGACAGAGTGGTTCTGCCCCACCTCGTCCCACTGTCGCCCCAGATAAACCCCTAGAGTTAATGCAAGGGAATAAGAGCACCTAGTACAAAGCAGAGTGGCCACTGGCGGAAGTTTGCTGGATGAAATGTGTCAAGCTTTGCTTTTTTTAAAAAAACCTTTTATTGATTCTTTGTGGGTTTCACATAATGTGCCCCAGTCCCACTGTCCTCTCATATCCACCTTTGCCCTTGCAACCTTCCCTGCCAGCCACTTGCTGTCTGTGGCCTGCCTGCGCCATATGCTGGAGGTCAGGACTGTGGGTGCCATGGCAGCCCGAAGGTAGGTCTTCTCAGTGTAGGGACATTCAGGACAATAGAGGGACAGCTCACCGGAACCCTTATATGCGCTACATCAAAGCTGCAAAATACACAAGGCCAGGTTTGCAGAATGGACCGAAGAAGCCCACGATGAAATTTACAGAGGGTAGGTCTTCTGTCTTCCTCCTCCTGTGCTGCACTGCCTGAATTTGATTTGATTTTTATGAGTCCTCGGCATAAGACAGCTTTGACCGTTAAGCCAGGCATCAAGCTAGGATAAACAAAGGACTCTCATCTGCTCTGCCCCTGACTGATATTAGAACAACACCATGAACAAGGTGCCTCTTTGCCCATTGCCAGCAGGGGAAACTTTGTTTTTTTAAGATGCAAGGTCCTAGGGCTAGAGTGCAGTGTGTAAGAGCACTGGTTGCTCTTCCAGAGGACTTGGATTTGATTCCCAGCACCTACATGGTGCTTCACAACTTTCTATAACTCCAGTCCTGGGATCAGACACCTTCTACTAGCTTCCACTGCACCAGGCATACAGAAAAGTGCAGATACATACTCATGGATTCAAAACACTCATAAAATTAAGTAAATGCATAGTCTCACAGAGCATAGTGAGATCCTGGCTATAGCATAGTGCAATCCTGGCTAACTTGGGAGGCTAAGACAGGAAGATTGCAAGTTTGAGACCAACCTGGACAACTTAGTAAGACCCTGCCTCTAAAATAAAATATTGGAAAGGTCTGGGGATATAGCTCAGTGGTAGAGTACTTGCCAACCTGCCAGGCTCTGGGTCCATTGCCCCAGACTAAAGACAAAGTTTCCAAGTTCACAAAAAGCAAACAAACAGAAGCTTTCTGTTTGTTATTTACAGAAGACATCACCCTAGTTCTGAGGGCCCAAGGTGACTGAAAAGAAAAGGATAGAAAACAATATGCCTGCAGCTGCCCCCAGGGGAGCAAAGGAGGCTGTAACTTGAAACCAGGGATACTTCCAGACTGTGTCTTCTCAGTGTAGGGACAGTTGGGACAATAGAGGGACAGTTCACAGGAACTCTTCTACGCCCTACACCAAAGCTGCAGAATACACAAGGCCAGGTTTGCTGAATGGACCGAAGAAGCCCACACTGGCATTTACAGGGTTTGCACACCTTGTATCCACTGGTTCTCAGAACTGGTGCTCGAAGGGTGTGTGTGTGTGTGTGTGTGTGTGTGTGTGTGTGTGTGTGTGTGTATACACATGGGTGAATAACAGAGCATTGATCCAGGCATATGCTCAGCTCTTCCATTAGCCATGAGCAGCTCTGGAGCCACCTATCTTCTCTCTTAATATATATGGATACAACCTGCCGATGAAAGGGGCTGAGATCATCACTGTCCTTTCAAGGCCTGTCACTGTGTGATGCTGGCAGCCCTACGCTGAGTTCTTCCTCCTGAAGGACAGGCTGAGGACCTGATCCCGCATCTGATGGGGAGTGGGAAGTACTCAGGCTGGCTCTTGTGCTCAGCCTGGGGTGACTTGAAAGGCTGTCCTTGCAGGTCTGGGCAAGGCCTTTGAAGACTGTCCCTCTGCCTCTACTGTCTGCCCTTTGGTCATGCAAGGTTTCTCTGACAAACATCCTACAGGCTCCTCCTTCCTTCCACATCACTATAGAGGGGATGAGTGTCCAAGCATAATCACTGTGTCCTAGGTACTATCAACGCAAGGTCATACCCAGTGTATTTTCTCATGAGGTCAGAGTGCAACAAAAGAGATGGATGTCCAGTGTCAGGTATGGTGAGTCCATCTATGGAAGGCCCTGGGAGCTCAGAGCCCAAGGATAAAGGAAACAAGGGATTAGCAAGGGAATGTGGAAGCCAGGGCTGAACCAGAGCTGACTCAGTGAAGTAAGTGACTGACAAAGGACTAGAGATGGTCTGCATGCCTATGAGTGGGGGACACGAGACAGTGTGATTAATCCACGCAGTACAGAAATGAGTGCAAGCCTCTTGGAATTAAAAAAAAAAAAAAAAAAGTTACCAGGACACAAAATATGTGAACATCCAGAGAAAAAGGCCAGAGGTTCACAGAGAATGCTACTGGCTCTTCCTTGAGAGATAGGTTGATGGCCGTTTGCATAATTCACACTATTGTCTAATGTTCTAAGTTGACCTCATCTATTTTTTTTTAAGTTAGGGTCTCACATATCCCAGGATGTCCCAAAACTCAACTGTATAGCTAGGGGGTGACTCTGAATTCTTTTTTGTTTGTTTTTGTTTTTACTTTTTATTGATTCTTTGTGAACTTCACATCATGCCCCTCAATCCCACTCATCTTGCTGTCCCTTCATTTCCTTCTTCCGCCCCTGCAACTTCCCCATAAGAAAATAATAATAAATAAATAAACAAAACAAGACCAAAAAGATCTCATCATGGAAGCTGTTGGGTGTCACAGTGTGTCATACAGTATACCCTTTGTCCACACATCTTTATTTGCAAATGTTCATTGCAATGAGTCATTGGTCTGGTTCAAGGCCTCTGGCTTCTACTACACTAATCACAGGATCAATACTGGACTCCCTTCAGATATTCTGCTTTTGCCGTGTGTCATGGAGATCCTGCAGCGTTGGGTCTATAGGACTGGCCCTTTCACATGCTCCAGCAGGTCATAGATGGAATAGATGTTGGGGAAAGACAACTGAAAGCCCTGGATCTGGGCCTGGGTGGTAGCTGAGTTGGACAGCCTGCCAGCTCTCCCACACCCATACCACCAGCACTGCCCAGGCTAGCTCACCCAATGCCATGGCTGGTGAGGGACAGAGCCAGCTCTCCCACCTGCCACAGGTGGCAAGGGAAAAGAGGCTGTGAGGGAATCTCTCCCTCACCCATGCTACTGTATGGCAAATAAGGGGTGGGGCCATCTCAGCCCAGGGGCAGCCTAAACCAGGGACATCTGCATGGCCTTTGGTAGTAATAAGAGTCTCAGACATCAACACAGACCTGACTGCTAAAGGACCTAGAACCCAGACATGCCCTCTGGCAGCAACATAGGCCCAGATGTCACCATGGCCTCAGGTGGCAGCCCAGACTACACACATCCACATGACCTTAGGTGGTAACCTGGGCCACAGACATCGACACAGACCCCAGCTGCAGCAGAACCACAGGCTCAGACATGGCCCTCAGTGGCAACCTAGACTAGAACTAGGTCACCACGACCTTAGGTGGCAGCACAGGCCACTCTGATGGGTTTGGTCCCTGGCATCAGCATGGCCCCAGACATCTACATGGATTCAGGCAGCGGCCCAGATCACTGACGTCTGGATGGCCTTCAGTGGCAATACTGGCCACAGATACCAGCACATATCCCAGCTGTGATAAAGCCACAGACAAGTCACTGCCCTTGGCAACATCTGAGGCCCAGATAACACCGTGGTTTCAGGTGATTTCACAGGCTCCTCATATCAGCCTTACTGTGATGGAATCTCCAGTTCACCTTTCTCTACAGTGAATGGATCCCTCAGCATCACTGCCTCTCCATCTCTACCATAAAGGCCCCCATAGCAGATGCTTGGGTGTCTTTCTTTTGGCCACCCCTTGAGTTCTTGATTCTTCTGCCTTCCAAGTACTGAGATCACAGGCCTGCAGTACCACACCCAGCTTATGTAATGCTTCAGTATCAAGCCCAGACCTCTAGCATATAACACCAGCCCCTACCAATTGAGCTTTCCCCCAGCCCCAGGCAATGGGAGGGCGTGGCCCTCAACAGCCTGAGGTCATGAGACAGGCAGCTTCTTTCCTTTCTTTGTATCTTGATCCTTCTTCATCCCCCTCGCCCCTTAATAAAGCCAGCTTTGTTCCTATCCTAGACAATTTGAGTCTTTTTGAACAGCAAGGTACTTCTACCTTCTAAGCAGAGGCCAGCGGAGAGGCAGAGTCTGGGATATTAGAGCCTTGAGAGGAGACCAGGCTGGAGGCCTTTCTGTCACAGTCACTGTTAGGCACTTGCTGAAGACAGCAGGGAGTAAAACCAGAGGAAGCTGCCCTTGAGTGTGGAGACCAGTAGAAACAGACGATAAAAGGAAACTGCAGTGGGGTCAGGGAATGCCTACAGTGGACTTTGCTTCTCTGCCTTTCCCACTGCAGACCCGAAACAGCCCACCATCACCCTAGGTCTGGGGCCAGGAAGACCAAAGCCGTTCACTCTGAAGGAAGCATATTCCCACCTCACGTGAAAACCTGCCTCATTAAATTTAATGTGCTGGTTATTCCTGTTAAATAAACATCAACTAATTATGAAAGACATATTTGCTAAAGTTTGACTATGGAACATATGAACCAATTACATGGTTATTCAGCCTCAAAACACACTTGGTAATGAGGTGGGTTATAGACCAGCAGCAGGTAGGGGTGGCTGAGCCTGGATGGAGGGAGCTCCTCTCCAGCCTTTCCTGCTTCCTCCCCTCAGTACAGGAGCCCCAAAGAATGTCCATGTCCTGGAGAGTCTGGGTCTGATATACTGGGATCATATGTCAATCATACTCCTTCAACATGAACAGCAGACCCTGACCTACAGCCAACAAGAACTCTTAACAGATTGAGATGTTCAAAAGGGGAACCTCAGGCCTACCTGGATCTAGGGGTTGAAACCCATTCATTGAGACCTAGTCTCTTCAACTACTTTTCTGGGCTACTTTTGGACCCCATGAAGGGTCCCAACAAGCCTCACTTTGTCTCTATGAAGTCTCTCTCCCCTGTACTTTCAACTTGGGAGTCAAGATTATTGATTATTATTTGTTTGTTTTGTTGGTTGGTTGGTTGGTTTTTGGAGACAAGGTAGCCCTGGCTGTCCTAGAACTCACTCTGTAGACCAGACTAGCCTTGAGCTCCAAGATCCACCGGCCTCTGCCTCCCAAGTGCTGGGATTAAAGCATGCAACCACTGCAGCCCAGCGATTCAATTTTTTTTTTTTTTTTTTTTTTTTTTTTTTTTTTTTTTTACTTTTGGTTTTTCAAGACAAGGTTTCTCTGTATAACCTTGGCTGGCCTGAACTCTCTTTATAGACTAGGCTGGCCTTGAACTCACAGAGATCCACCCAACTCTGCCTTCTGAGTGCTGGGATTAAAGGTGTGTGCCACCATGCTTGGCAATTCAAGATCATGTTTTTAAACCACCTTACAGCTAAATATTTAACATCAGGAAATTCTGGAGGGTTTCATAAACATGTAAGAGTAGGCATGGGTGCAGCTTAGGGGAGCACCTGCCTTGCATGTGTGAGGCCCTGGGTTCTACCCCCTTCTCTGGGAAGGTGGAGGAAAGCTCATATCATGAAGTCTTACTGAGGAAATGCAAAATAAAGCCACCAAAAAGCCCTACGTACCCAG